TTCTGCTGGTTTGCTTTGACTAAACTCCGTGAAGAGAAATTCTGGGACATCAGTGTCTCCTCAGTGGTCACTTGCAAAGCAGAGGAGTAGTGAGGAGTATGGGAAGAGTTCCAGGCTCATCATCCTGAGTGAACACATCTGTGATATTACTCATGCCCTGGGTGGGTGGTTTGTGGGCATTCTCTCTGTACCCTCTGTACCAGACTTCATTCTACTACAGAAACTGAGTGAAGGAGCTGGCCACCAAAAATCAGGACCTTTGCTAGACTGTAGAGTGCTAAATGGTGAAGGTTTAAGGTACAAGAAATCTGCACTTTTTTTTTTTTTTTTTTTTTTTTTTTTTTCACTGTTCCCAGGGCTTCAAGCAGTAAAAATAAATTTTACTGAAACATTACATGTGCTAAGAATAAGCTTTGGGCACACGCCAACTGTGAAAAATTAAAGCTCTAACAGGTGTGTTTTGCGAGCACAGGGAAAATGTTGCTTACAAGAATGATGTATAGAAACTTTTGCAAAGGTAGTTGCGTTCAGCCTGCTGCCTTGTGTTCCCTTACAGCGACAGGTTGTCCTCAGGTGAGGGCAACTCTGCAATGAAGAGACTTAAACCAAGCACTAGAAGACTCGAACTCTGGGGGAAAATGGAAATTTAGATGCTAACTCTGAGCCTGGGATCTGCTTTGGTACTGATTCCAGTGATGTGAATGGATATCGCTGAGCAAAGGACATGAAAACAGGGTCTGCCTATAGTGAGGTTGGAGCAGGAGGTAAGCCCTCGAGGAAAGCTGCTGTGGGAAATGAGAGTCTACAGTGTGCTTCACTGAGGCTCATTCAGAACTGGAGAGCCCCAAAGTTGCTATGCTACTGGGAGGAGGATTATAGCATAGTTAAAACAAAAATACTGATCAAAATGTTGCTTCTCCTATTAAGCACACTCTCCAACTGTTTGGTTTTTGGTTGTTTTTTTTTTTGCCTTGCTTGGGGAATTTATTCAGTAATGACGCAGAAGAAAGAATACCGCAAATGAATTGCTAAAGTCACTGTAGAAATCACCTACTGTGTATTGCACTATGAAACTGGAAATGAAAAAAGACTGTGGTTATTCACTGAATAATTTTGATGAATGGTCGAAGGCTTGTTCGTGAGTGGTTAGTTGCAAGTACTCAGTGTTCCAAAGGTAACCTTTTAATTGGATATACTGATGAAATGATGAGCTTCACCTTGCTGGCCATCATCCTTCAATGAAGGCATCCTGGACAGCGTGCTCAGTTGAGAGGAAGTGCATGGTTTGCCTTCTTTCACAGGGCCTGATATTCGTAGAAGGTGAGTAATACAACACTGGGAACACAAAGGGAGCTTCTTTTTAAGGGAATGAAAATTCACTGCATCTTTTTGGCAGCGGCTGTCTGCATTTACTTAAATGGGTGATGCAGGGCTCTAAAGCTTTTAAATGATACCAGATCCTCTGATAAAAGACACAAGACTGCAGCTTTTTTATTGCGATGAGACAGGAGTTAATAAGATTACTCCTACTCTTCAGTTACTTTTTCATCTTTTGCAGCCAAATGCTCTTTTTTTTTTGTTAGTAGGCAAAAGGAGGTCAGCTCATTTACAGGGTGTTGTGCTAGAAATAAACATTTTTCCCTCAAGTGGAACTCTGAAACCCAGGCTTAAGTGCCCAGCTCCTGAAACACCGGTCTTGGAACCAGAATTGCTCTTAGTGCTGGCATGCTGCATCCCTGTAAGGATCACTTCTGTAAGTTCTGTAAATTGTTAGTTCTCTGCTTTGTTTTTGAGCAGGCTTTTATGGGAGAGGTAGTTAATGAGAAGGAAACTTTAAACAACAAACAAACAAACAAAAATCCAAACTGGAACAAAGGAGAGAAAACTTGCCGAGGGAAAGAGTTAAAGCCATCTGCCCGAAAGCATTGTGTGAAACTTGCACACAGTGTTGGGGAAATAAGCCAATTATGTGTGCTTCACAGGAGGTGGGGGACTGACCTTTGTGTATAATTAGTTCTTTTATTTAAAGCAAAGATTTGGAATAGAATAACTAATTAGCTGTCATAAATGGCAAATGGAGGACTTGGCCGACTCCTGGGGGAGCTGGGGGAGGTCCTCCTGCAGCTGAACGACTGGGCTCTGCTCACTGGGTGCTCCTTTCTGCATCCCATCCCACAGAGGTGGTGGTGGCAGTGCTTCCTGCAGCCCCTTGGTACCAGAGTGGGCTGAGAAGTCCTGCTGATGTCACCTGCCCTGCTCTTGCCTGCAGAAAGAACAGCAAGGCTGCAAAGCCTCCAGGCGCCTATCGTTAGCCAGCGGTCCCACATTGCTCTTCCAGACCAATTAACCTTTAGAGTTGCATTACAGAAATCAGGTGGCGAGCTTTCATGCATTCAGAGGGACCAGTCACTCTCATGCAGATCAGAGCACTACAGAGATGTACTCCTTAGGACCATCGCAGGTAACTGTTGTTAGAAGGTCCACCATCTATAAAAAAAGTTGCGGGGCAGTCTTGGAAACAAGGCTTTATGAGCATTGCCCTTAGAGGAGTTGCAGCTGATTGCCGTGTTGAATAGAAATGTCAGTAAAACAGGCTAGAAAAACTTGGAGGTGTGCTTAGTGGGCGCTCATCTTACAAAGCCAGCAGAATAATTTTGCAGGAGGACCCCAGCTGAGAAGATATGGGCTGATTACAGCTGGTTCACCCGCCTGTGAACGGAGGTAAAGTTTAGATTACTGACTGCAATAACTGCCTCTTTAGACACAGCCATAAATTTAAGTATGTCCAGAGGTGGCGTCTATAATTTTTTAATGTGCATTGGAGCTCTGAGCACTCAGAACAGGTTTTGTTTTGTATTAACCAGCAGCAAGTCTATTAAGTTGTAAAGGGCAAAGAAGGGAGCGTAGGCAGCCAAGAATAGAAATGCTTCATCCACCACTCTTAAGGAAAGATGGAGATGGAAGATGAGCGCCATGGAGTTCAACTGATGGTCTTTTTGGAATGTAGTGACCAGCCAGCATTCTCCATCACTGTGTGTGTCAGTGGATGAGTGCCTATCTGTCTCCCTAGCTCTGCACTGCTGCTCTTTGCCTTCTGGGTGCACGTGGCTGGAGTGAGCCCTTCTTTCTGGTTAGGGCACCAGAGTGTTACCTCACTGAACGGGGGATCTTGGTGGAAAAAATCTGCGCAGAGGAACAAAGCAGCACTGTGGTTTTGCAGTGGGGAAATTTCCAGAAAGGAAGAGCAGCTCTGCAGGTGGTGGCTTCTGCCTGCAAAGTCTGGCTTGTTTGGGGTTTGCTGGAAGGAGGCGGGCAGAGGAAACGGGTTCAGCGCTGGCCGTGCCCTCTCTCCACTCACCTCCAACTGCGAAAGGGGTTAAGCTTCTGAGATGCTGCTCTCTTGTTGCTTGGAAATGACATGGCAGGCATGCGAGGAGCCCGTGCTGATGGAGTTTGGCAGTTTTTGAAATTTTGTTTCACGCCTTGCCTGCTGTGTCAGCTCACCAGCTAATTGCAGCCGCCGCTTGGCCCGGTGTGTGTGCTCTGCGGCGCTGGGCTGGCGGAGGGAACCTCACAGACCAGGATGTAATTTCAAAACACTGAACCTGACCAGCAGAGGCTGACCTTGCTCGTTATTATCTGAGTGGGAATAGCAGCTTTGAACATCATATGATCTCTGAAATGGTACCTTTTTTCATTAGAAAGCCCCCTGCTGAAAGCTGACCAAATACATTGCTTTTTTCCTTGCTTAAGGTACTGTTTAAAAATATATATATCTGTTCCTTTGCTAGTTATTAGAAGAAAATCAAAGTAGTACATTCCCCTTCTTGGAGGAAGCCTCTCGTAAGACAATGGAGTGCTTGGAGGAGCAGGGAGCCGAAATGGCAGAGAGGCAGGAGGGCTCAATGGTTCCAGTTATCCAGAACCAGCATTTTGAAACCCCCATTTGTGTCGTCCTGGGTTGCACGTGTGCTGCTCAAAAACAGGTTTAAGTTTCCACTTCATTACTGCATATTTTCCACTCACATCAGAAATTTGCCGATGTTGACTTTGCCGGTGCCGCAGCGTCGAGCAGGAGGGCTCTTTAAGTCTGGAGACTTCTCCAATGTTACTTGACCCGTCTCCGTGCTGCTGGGACTACTTTGATAACAACCAGATCGATGCCTCGCTGTTGGCGTGGAGGTGTCTTAAGTGCTATTGTCGTCTGCTCGCGGCTCTGACAAAGCAATTATTACTGTACGAGCGGTGGGTTTTACATGGGCTGCGCATTAGCCACCACCACCGGGTCACCCTGGCTTTTAAGGAAAGCAGCAAATGTCACTTACTGCAATAGCACTGGCTTGTTCCATTCGGGCCAAGGGACTGTTAATAATTCCATTATCAAGCTGTTACTTTCTGGGACATCCAGCTTGCTACAGGAACTGGCCTAACTTCAGGTAAGGGCATACAACCAGTGGTGCTGCTACCCCAGCCACAACGTCTCATCTGCTTTGCGTTGGTTAAACCTGTGTCTCCAGTGGGGATTATAAAGGAGGAGAACCAGTGGCATGCCCCAGCTTTACACCCACACCTCTCCTTTCCTCGCAGCTATATCCAGGCAAGGTGGCGGATGGGGCAGAGCAGGGATGCGCATGCTTGGCCCTTCTGATCATGGGCAGTTACCGATGCGAGGGCACTGCTAATGAAGGAAAAACAAATGTTAGAATTGCAGCGGGTTGGTTCTGCTGCAAAATGTTGATAAATAATAACTAAAAAAAACAAAAAACAAAAAACTTTTTTTTGTGTGTCAGCCCTACCCTTGGGGAAAAACTGCAGGTGTCATGTTCCTACCTACCCTGCGGCAGCAAATGAAGTTCCTCTGACCACCACCTTCTTGCAGCATGAGCTGCAGCAGAATTTGCTCACAGATTGCACTGCTGCTCCCAGCGCAGCCCCGAGTGCAGGAAACTTGCTCAAGCTGTCTGAATGTCTTGTAACCCCGCTGTCTGGTTGTGTTGCAGGTGTGCCGATGTTATCCGTACAACCCAAGGGGAAGCAGAAGGGCTGTGCTGGCTGCAACCGGAAGATCAAGGACCGGTACCTGCTGAAGGCCCTGGATAAATACTGGCACGAAGACTGCCTGAAGTGCGCCTGCTGCGACTGCCGTCTTGGAGAGGTTGGATCAACCCTTTACACAAAAGCAAATCTCATCCTTTGCCGCAGAGATTACCTGAGGTAAATAGAGGCATGTAGCGTGGGCTCTTCCCAAGCGCCTCAGTTTGCTGCCAGCTGTTTGCCTTTCTAGCCCCTACTGTGAAAATGTGCATTTGTGCACAATTGGCCCTGCCCCAGAGAGGCTGGAGGTTCTGCCCTAGCTGAGCGTGGCCTTTGGTTTGCGGTTCATGTATTGCATAGTCAGGGAGGTTAGGAAGAGGGCACATCTGAACTCTACTGTTTTACCCCAACAAAAGCAAAAAGATCTTTCAGAGGAAGTAAAGAGGAGGCCATTAATTCTTCTTGAGTATCTGTGATGCTATGCTCCTGCACAATGGCCGACATGCTATGACTCTGTGATCTGACCAAGCTTTTACCTTTTCTTTTTCGCTTTCAGCGCTGGCTTTTAGATAGGCTTCTGGTGCTTGTTTTCAGTGAGGCTCCTCCCATGGGGCTCCTGTCTCTTTGCTAAATAAACAGAGCAAAACACTCCAAAATTACAGATCAACTTCAGAAATTTTCTTGTTCGTGAGGAAGTCTGCAGAGACCAACTCTTAAGTTGGAGCTGCCCTGTCAGTATGTGTCTGCAATATGTAACAACAGGGCATTTTTTTGCCTGGTGTGTATGGTTTGTTTTTTTTTTTTTTACAAACTACTTCTGATAAACACAAATGAATTTTAATAAGGCAGCAGCCCTAATGCAAACATTCTTAGGAGGGTCGCACTGCAAAACACTCCAAGCTTTGCTTTGTTTTTTCATCTGGAAGAGTGTACTTGATCTGTAGCCAATGTGTTGTGTTTTTTTCCTAAAGGACTGATAACATTTCTTGAGCAAACTCAGCCAGAACAACAGAAACCGCCACGCTGGTTTCAGAAATGGAGGTGCATTGCTGGCTAACCTTCGGTGTGCAGAGTGTGCTTAGGTAGTCAGGTCCTTCACATATTCCTGAAAATCTTCCATAAATGTTTTCTCAGTAAAAGTTTTACATGCGAGTTTCTCTCTCTAAAACAAGAAACTGACCAAATAGAAGACAGACATCTAATAGCCACCATTTGGGAGCTGCCGCCTTCCCTTTCTTTGAGGCAATGTACAAAAGCATCCTTCTCACACAAGGACTTTTGCTCACAGTTGGAATGCGTTCACAGGGACCCCCTAAGTCTTTCAGAAGAGCTTCTTCTAGAAATAGTTTTCCTTCCACGAGATACAGGCTGCATTCATGTCTGGAGTGTTTCTTTATAGATGGCTTTATTAAAACACACATCTTGTTTGCACCCAGCCTGCCAAGCAGTCCTGGTCACTCCATCAGTCATCCTCCTCTTCATTATTTATCACTTCTCCAGACTTTGTTGTAAGTGCACTTGATAAACAGTGTATTATTTTTTTTAATCTGACCTGAAAGATAGATACTCAGTGTTGCTCTACGAATACTTCTAGAAGTTCTTCAGCTGGGTGGTGATTCCATCTACATTTGCTTTCCAAGACTCACAAGCTACTCTTGTGTCTCATCCATTTAACGAGCACCATATTGATTTTGGTTTGCTCTAGTTTCATAACAAAAATAATATGTATCATCAAATCAGACACATTAGAGTGCCAAAATAGAGCACTATTGATGCTGTTAAACTTAGAAGAACTTTTTTATCACTGCTCCATCACAGTTGTGGGGCATCTCTTTCTTTTCTTGGTTTATCCTGAGAATACTGCTTGGAAGAAGAAAAATTTAATCCTTGATCTTCTCTCTGGGCCATGGATAGCATGACTTCGTGGGACACACAAGAATTCTGTGTTCAAAGTAGGAAAGAAGCCAGGAGTGCAGACCCCAAGAAGCATCCCACGTCCTGCTCTAAATATTTTTCCCCTATGGGAATGCAATCTGTTAGAGCACTTCTGACTGCTAGAAGTATTTTACTTTTGCTGTTGCTGCTGGGAGATGCATTGTAATTGTTATAACCTAGGAAATTTAACCGAGAGTTGGGTCGGAAGAAAGAGCATCAGTTCCACAACACAGTAATTGGCTTGCATTCAGTGGTTTGGCCAGCTTTACAGCTGTGATGGTTTGTGTTCTTGCTAATGAGCAAACTCAAGAGTGCTCACTATGGAGGTTTCTCCTACACCACTAGGTTCTGTCCTGCTTCTGTGGAACACATTTAGCAACAAGGGTCAATGCCATATAGTCCCACATTTTATGGAAGTATAAAACAATTTTTTAACTTAAAGCATCTCCTGTTGTCTTCCACACATAGTGTTTCTTTCTCTCTCAATTTAACTATTAGTTCTATTAATAGAAGGAACTAAAGTTGCTGTCACCATCCTCTTTACTGTCAGTTCACTGCTGGTAATTTGAATTTTTCTTCTTGGAGAATTACCCACTTCCATCATATTTAATTTCTTCCCTTTAATAGTTTTAAAGCCTCAACCCACATCTTTTTCACCTCACTAAACAACGCAAGATATTTGTTCTACTCGTCAAATGTTAGCAGAACTCATTGCTAAAAATAAGGCTTTGTACTTCACACTGCACTCATACCAAGAAGCAAGTACTTTGGAGGACAGCCAAAGGAACTGACTTCCTCTCCATCTCTTTGAATAATAGTAGTGTCACATTATGCTGCTGATTAGTATGTTGACCGTCACATGAAAAATAAGTGGTTGGATTGATTTGGAGCCCATAAATGTAAACGGCTGCATCTTTCTTATCTGAAGTCCAAAAGGAGTGCTGTTGTGTAATGGCCAGGAGAACATTGGTGCTTCTCAGTCTCTTTGTAGACCGGTGTCTTTGCTTTTGCCCCTCAGCTTAGCATGCAGTTCAGGATCACGAGCTTTGCTATGCACAGAACATGCGTTCCCCACCCTGTGCTGGGGCTTGGCTTACATACCTGCAGCAGGCTGGCTCCTGCCCATGCCATGACCCCCCAGTGCAGGGCAGCACACCCCTTCCTTCAGCGCAGGGGCACCAAGGTGTAGGCACTCACACACAGGAATGCCTGGGCACATGTCTGAGCAGTGAGGGCATGCAGGCTTCTGGGAGAAGCCTGCCTGCTGTACTTCAGGAGTCGCTAGCAGACTATGGCCTGATCATTTGTTTCAAAAGATAAACTGTCGTCATTGCTTGCGAAGGAACATTTGTTAACCTTCACATTTCATAAAACACTTTCTTGCTCATTTTTTAATCATGAAAGATGAAATTGGATCTCGAGCTGTTATCCTTGCGGTATCACCTCAGTCTCCAGCTGTGCCGAGATGGAGCTTTCGATACATTTCATCTGAGCAAATAGATTTACCATTTGTTTCATAATCACGGCTCCAGCATTCCTACCTCTAATTATTTCTGATAAGCAAATGCTGTCGAGGAGGCTGCTCTGGGACACGGCGTCACGTGCAGCTCAGGGGCTCCAACGCATCTCTGATAGCTGCTCCTGGTGCAATTCTGCACTCCCCAGCTCCACTCTGGGAGGTTTCAGTGCAGCGTGGTGATTGTGTGCTGTCTGCTCAGAGCCCACAGTGCTGCTGAATTGAAGTTCTGCTCTTGCATCACAACAGGGAGTGACTTGCATGCTACATAGGGCACCCTCACTTGTGCGCCCGGTGTCTGTACAGATTAAGGAGAATTAATTAGGCTCAAAATACGATGTGTCTTGGCAGCATTGCTCTGCTTTGTGATGTTAAAGCACAGATTTTTATTTTTTTTCCCGTGGTAGCTGGTCCAGGAGTTTCTCCTAGCCCATGCTTTTCAAGATAAACAAGAAATGTTTGGTTTGTTTACCTGCTTTTTTTTTTTCTTTCCCCCTCCACAACCTCTCCGGAAGGTGAAAAGCTTATGGGGAATATTACTTCCCAGCTATGGAATGCTGATGTGCCTCTTGGGCTTTGAAACCTGCAGTTTGCTGACTGCTGCTTTCAAACTCCCCTACGAGGATGCTGTACCCCAGGTGTTCAGCAGTATAGGGGCAGCCAAGATGGATTTTAGGGTGAGGGTATCAGTTCTAACACAGGAGGGTGGATAGGGGAAGAAGACAAGGACTTCTACCTGTTAGCTGTCCCAATTAGTATTGTTATGAGAATACAGAGGAAGAGACAAAAGGAGGAAAAATAAGTGAACATCCATCTGTATTCTTCAGCTGGAAACATACGCCCTTGAGCAACCTTGAAGTTTATGCCCAGTGATCTCAGAACTAGTGCAGTCACACAGCCAGAGGGCTGAGATACTGGGTGGTACAGGTCCTCCCGTTACGATGCCCATGAATGACAAACCCTTGGGCATATAAGATGGAAGTTCCTTGAGGCTGAACTTGAAGGCATCACAGGAGGACAGCTTGACCAGCTTCATTAGAATCAAAATGCACCTCCTCTGCCCCCTCTGCCATGACCTCCCACTGCGGCGCCGACAGCAATGTCCTGGAGAGGAGGGTGCCCCAGCTTATGTGTACATACTGTGTTGAAGTGCCCATTGTGAGGCCTTTTGCTGAGTGTTACACAAATTCTGATTACAGGGAAGTCAGAATCCTCACGTTTGAAGCTGCTTTTAAGGTTCATCTTTTTTATCTTGTCAAGTGATGTTCAGGCTTCCCTGCAATAACTGGTGTGTTCAGTACTCTGGTCATATCAGGCTTCTGGCTCAGCATATTTTCAGTATCCTCAGACAGGAGAAATATTAATTGCAAGCTGCTAATGGCTATTTGTTGGTCTGTTTCAAATTGTAAGGTCGGAAATCCACTTTTTCTAGCACTGAGATTTGGTCAGCCTTTTTCTTAGGTAACAGTGATAGGAAAAGAAGGAATGATGTCAAGTTGCACCAAGGGATGTTCAGGCTGGACATTAGGAAAAATTTGTTCTCCAAAAAAGTGGTGAGGCATTGGCACAGCTGCCCAGGGAGGTGGTAGAGTCACCGTGCCTGGAGGTGTTCAAGAAATGTGGAGCTGTGGCCCTGAGGGACATGGATAGTGGGCATGGTGGGTTTGGGTTGGTGGTTGGAATGGATGATCGTAGTGGTCTTTTCCAACCTTAACAATTCTATGATACTTAAATGTAAAAAATGTAGGTACTTCTTTGTAGATTAGTGTTTAGACCTTTTTCAATTCATAATCGTTAGCTTTTTTGTTGACAAAGCCTATTGTTTTGGGGGAATTCTCAGTCTCAACTCAGCAGTTTAATCTTGAACTTGTGTGCTTTAAGTAAAAAAAATGGAACCCCCCAATCCATCCATTGTGTACCATCCATTCTTTACATTTGCCTGTCCTCATTCCTTTTTTTTCTTTCCTTTATTGAAGTCAGCAGCTCCAATATTTTCTCTCTGCACTGAGGGAAAATGTTTTTCCTCTTTCTTGATGGACCATGTAGCAGCCACCAGGTCAGAGGGAAGATAAGGAGCAAGGACTCCTTCCTTGTAGCACAGATTGCTGTTTCTAGAGCTGACAGAAATAGCTAACGGAGTTCTCAGTTCGGCTCAGTGGCACAATTTGGCTTGAGAAGGAAGAAAGTCTGTAACGAGATGCCAAACTTCAAGTCATCTTATAAGGCATATTCTTCCATTTTCCTGCAATATGGACTCCTTGCCATTCTGTTCTCCTCCCCAAACCTGCAGGGTGCCAATGACTTTAGTATGCTTGGAATCTAGTTCAGGTGTATTCTCAGAGCTGGTGAAGTCTTTGTGCAGAAGGCTACTCTTGAGCACAAACAAAACTTTACCTAAAAAGCACCCTTCAATCGTTGCATGCTGCTTCCAGGAGTGCTCCCCTCGTTTCCCATTAATTCATTTGCATTCACTGCTGCTCCTGTATGCCAATTAGCTTTAATTTTTACTGTGCACACTGACATCAGCGGCCAATGAGAACAGTGCATAGCGAGGTTTTTAGTGTGCCTATAAACTACAGAAAATTGTCCTTGGACAAACTCCTGCTTTTAGACTGGCTGACAACAATAGACGTGGTTAAGTTCAGGCTAAGAGCCATTAAACATAATTACTACCACAGGGTAAAAGTTTAATTGTGTTAAATTTTAAATCTGCATAGTCTGTGCTTATTTACAAGCTGGCTAGGTCTTCTTGTTACATAAAGGGGAATAAATAAATCTGTGCTTTAAAATCGTTGCCTTTTAACTTCAAAAAGGGAGATTTAAAAAAAAAAAAAAGTGTTTTCAGAAGCAGCAAAACAGCTCCAGAGTGAAACCTTTCTGTATTTCCAGCTTCTTTTAAGCCATTGGCACCAAGCTGGTAAGTAGATGCTGAGCATCTCCTGACAGATTTTTTCTAAAGCGCTTGAACTTTGTGCGTGTGAGTGTGTGAGAAAGCATCGCATCTGTTGGGAAGGTGCCTGGGGGACAGGCTGCAGATCAGTTTGTTCGTGTGGGGTTGTTTGGAATTTACCCACAGATGGGGCTCGTGGTGGAGGGCTTTCATCCACTCCCTCGTCCAGCAACGCTCAGCTTTCCCCACCTTGGATTTCTGCTCCAGTTGGTGCTGGGTAAGGAGGGTCAGAGGTGGCAGGTTTGTCACAAGGAAGAAAAAAAAAAAAAAAAGGCAAAAGTCCGTGTTCATTTTGCTTTTCTTCAAGCAGATTAAAAAAAAAAAGTTTGTTTCTTGCTCATTGAGCTACAAACCGCAGCATATTTTTAGAAGCGTGCTGAATACACAGGGCTCTAAACGGCTCTCTGGGAAGCAGATTCAAATCAGGGTGTGCTGGAATAAGTGCGAAATGCTCTCTGATTGGGAAGGGCAGGGACGGAGGGCTGTGAAACTTGCTAGAAAAGGGAAAGATCAGCACATGGGCCGGCTGTGCATCAGAGCTGTGTAGACATGGGAGGCGACGCGGTTTCAGCCGGACTGAACATAAGCTGTAGATCTTATGCAAACAGCCAGAGCTGTTTAACAATCGGTGCACCCCCAGCCCCCTGAAAGGAGACAGGTGAACACGATGCCAAATACATTTTTCATGTTTCTTAAGCTAACTGTTTAAATAGTTAAGTGAACATCTGTCCAAATTTCCCCATCATTTCCATTTAGAAAAGTCTCCTATTTGAAGGCTGAAGAAAAGCGCCTGCTTAACAATGCAAATGGTGCTGTCTGGGGCCCCTTTATTTTGTTTAATCTAGATTGAGCTCCACACAACGGTGATGCTAATGAATAATGGATATTTTACACTTGTGCGCGTAGCAGCGCCGGGCACAGAGCAAATCTAGGATTAACCTCCCAGTCTCCCAGCCTAATGGATCGGGCTCATTTTTTTTTGAGTTTGCTGTGACTTGGGCGCTCCAAAAACGCACGCCTGGTTTTGTGACAGTGACAAAACCCCACAAAGCCATCAGGTCTCGCCATGCTGAAGGGAGGCACTCGGGCAGGGGAGGGGGCAGGGGGCTGCGCTGAGTCTGATTTGTGGATGGTGCTGGATGGGGGCCGAGCACTGCAGGGTGCAGAGCCGGGTGCGTCTCTGTGCAGCGTTTCCCAGCCTGCTGCTGCAGTGCTGGCCCGTGGGAAGTAAAGTGCTCCCACAGCAGGTTGCATGGCTTGAGTTTGGCAGGGCAAGGCAGCTGTTGGAAGTGCAGAGTTGAGGCTTTCCTGTCTCCTTCAGTCGTCATTTGATGGAGTCTCAGGGGAAGAGTATGGAGTTCTCCCATTGCAACTTTTCCATCCTGCAGCATGGTATCATAGAAGATCCCAAGTTGGAAGGGACCCATAAGGATCACTGAGTCCAACTCCTGGGTCCATGCAAGTAGTGCCAGTGCTTCCTTTTGGTTTGCATTGCTTAAGTTTTGGGGAGAACATGCTGCTGCTTCAAGGAGTTTATAAGTGAATCAACTTTTTACACAGTCTGAGGGTGGTAGGACAAAGGGGAATGGCTTTAAACTAAAGAAGAAAGATTTAAGTTGGATGTTAGGAAGGAGCTCTTTACTCAGAGGGCAGTGAGGCACTGGCACAGCTGCCCAGAGAAGCTGTGGGTGCCCCATCCGTGGAGGTGCTCCAGGCCAGGCTGGATGGGTCCTGGGCTGGTGGGAGGCAGCCCTGTCCATGGCAGGGGGTTAGAAATGGATGGAGGTCTCCTCTAACCTAAGCCATTCTGTGATTCAAGACACTCTCAGGCTTCCTCCACCTGGTGGGATGAAAGGCCGCTGGTACCTGACAAACAAGGGCAGCTTTTTCTCTAGTTTGGCAGTAAGCTTGCTTTGGTTGCACAGCACAGTGCGGGTGGGAGTTATGTGAAGGTTTCTATAACACTGCTGAGTGCTATAGTTCACAATTACTGGCCAGTAATAATTAATATTGATCAGCTTGGCAAATTGCATGTTTAGAAATTGGTTATAGATTTTCCTGGTCTGTGCGTTGTGGAATTGGCCAGAACCAATGGCTCGAAACGAGCTGGGAGCCTGCATCTGTCTGCAGGCAGCAGTGCGTGGCACACACAGGGCTAACGGGGTGCAGTAGCCATTCTGCCTCACTCTGAGGGTATTTGTCATCCCCAGAGCAAAGCAGCTGACCAAATGCACACTGACCTGGTGCTGTCGGTCTGTTGATTGGCGCCATGGCTGGTCTGTGTGGCGGTGGTTTGTGGGTTGGCGAGGATGGCTCAGAGATGGGGCCAAGGGGAGAACATTGCTGTCTTGGCTGAGTCCCCGGCGGGAGCTGTAACAGCAGCAGACATCTGGAGAGACAGATAGTGAAAGGCAAGATGGAAATGGCAGAGCCTCCAGTGCCAAGGGGCTGTCCTCGAGGGTCAGGGAGCTGAAGTGGAACAGCAAAGCACTCCGGTCAGGGCTTGGTATGGCGCTGAGCCACTCCCGGGAGGGATGCACAACCAGGGAGCAGGGCTCGCCCTCCTCCAGAAGCTTTGCAAACTGGTGCTGTACCCATCACCAGGAAAAGCGTGCTGCTGTGCTTTCAGCATTGAGTGAGCAAGGTTCTTCCCCAGCAGCAGCATGGCGGTGCTGCCTGCTGGGCTGGCAGAGCCGTGGGGGCAAGGAGAGCTTTTGACTGAAATTTTGTGAGCCCCAAAATTGTGCTGCGAGTGTTTAATGCTTTTCTCCATTAGACAGCAAATTAGCCCTGGGCGTGCAATCCAAATGAAGTTTTCGTCTGGATGATCGCAGCCCGCTCAGCAGGCAGCTTTAGCCCGAGCTCCTGCACACTGGTTGGTCAGCGAAATGGAGACCGCGACTTCTATTTATTGGTGCAATACAGTATTTGATACCGCTAATTACACTTAATTAGTCCTTCCACCATTTAATTAAAATGGCTTCTAATGATCGTGCTTCTTTGGCAGGCTCTTTGGTACCACCGGGAATTGCGCTGCCTGCAGTAAGCTGATCCCTGCCTTTGAGATGGTGATGAGGGCCAGAGATAATGTTTACCATTTGGACTGCTTCGCCTGTCAGCTCTGCAACCAGCGGTAAGGACGCGGTTATTGCACGCACCAACGCGGGCTCCGTTACGGCCCTGTCCGCACAGCACCGAGGCGGTGCGGCCGGCTGCTGCCCGTGCCCGGCTCCCGGCGCGGTGGCGGCGGGCGGCACTGACCCCTAGCGGCTCCGGGGCCGTTCCTGCCCGCCGTTCCCGTGCCTGCTGGCTGCGATACAGGGAGCCCCGAGGGTGAGGTTTTGTTGCTAAACCCCTCTTTACTCTCGCATCCCTCCTGCAAAGGCGTAGTGCGACCGAGGTTCCATTTCCGGAGTGGGAGCTGCATTCTTTTAGATGTCATCCTACAGACTTCTATGGCTTATCCTCTAGATTCTGGCCCCAAAAGGTGGCGTGGATGCGTTCCTGTAACAGCAGCACGGGAGGCTGAAGTGAGAACCATGACTTTAGGTCAACCTGGAATCAGAGCTGCGGACGTGGGTGCCCAAGTGCCTTTGGGATGGGGCACCCACCTCCTTCTCCAGCTGCAAAAGGTTTTGGTGGTGAAGGCTCCTGTCCTCTAGTTCTCTTCCAGCTTCCTTTGGCTGTGTCTGTGTACAGAGCGTTAAATGCATCCGAGCAAAATCTAATATTGATACAGCGCACGCCGTGTTTTCATTAGGCTCATTCTCCAAATCTGGGCTTGCAGGTTCCAGGAGGCACACCCTTCCCTATGTAACCAGCCTCTCTCCCAGGACATCAGGGCTCAAGGGACCCCTGGCCGTTCCTGGCAGTGCCATGCACACCCCCAGCCCCTCAGCACAGCAGCCAGGTCTGAGGAGAGGCAGCCAGGGAGGCTGGTGGCAAGAGTCACTTCTACATTTCTCTTTGGAGGCTTCTGTTAAGCTCAGAGTAACAAGGAGCAGCAGAATGTAATCAGCTGTGTCTGTTCTTCGAGGGACTGAACTGCTGGTGGAGCATGTGGCTTTCAGGACTGTGTGCGCAGTACGGCTCTCAGCTTAAACACTGTTAATTCAAAGTGAGATTGATTTCTAGCTTTTTAATGCAGAAAAAAAAATAGTTGAGTATCAGAATTAGTAAAGCAGAGACAGAGAGAGAGAAGTGCGGGCTCAGTGCTCCCTCGAGCCATGGGGCTGGGACCCAGCACGTGGGGCTGTGGTGGGCTCTGCAATGTCCTCGTCCCATTGGCAAGGTGGACACAGCATCCCCTGAACCAGGCTCTAAGGGCATTATTTGTTATCTTAAGAAGAAAAGATGAGCTTCTAACTCTTCAGCAAGCAGACAGGGTGAAAAAGCTACAGGCTGTCAATTTATACCTCTCCGATATTATATGTGGAACTTTTTTGACCTTAATGGTCAAATAAAATTGTTAAATATCACAAGCCTCTCTGTCAACTTCAATACAAACAGAACAATTTACATGGTATATGGAGAGCGGTGCCCTTCGCTCAATGAAGATAAAGGTTAGGAGCCCAGCCATCAGGAAATTTCTATTTGTTGTTCAGCACTGTACACAAGGGGGTGAGGAAGGACTTAATAGCCAGTCCTTGCCTGGAAATGAGTGCAAATAATGCCTTACTGAGGGGAGCTGGGGAAGCACGGGACCAACACAGGCCTCAAACAGGCTCTGTAACATCACCTGGAGCTCCATCTGCAGGGATGTCCCGCTCAGCTGCCTCAGCCCCAGCCTGCCCTGGTTGCCCTCCGCTCCAAGCAGCGTGTCCTTTCCTTCAGTAATAAAATCACGGTGCCAAAACCGAAACCGGTTAATTCTGTCTGTCTTCCAGGTTCTGTGTGGGAGACAAGTTTTTCCTGAAGAACAACATGATCTTGTGTCAGATGGACTATGAGGAAGGGCAGCTGAACGGGAGCTTCGAGTCCCAGGTTCAATAGCGATCCCTGCTTCGCTGGAGCACTGTGGATGGGCGCCGGGCCGCGCCAGCAGCCAGCCGTCTGTCAGCTTGCCTGCAATATTTTTTTAATTCTGGTCCAGAGAGGACTATATACATTGTAGTACTTTCCCCCCACCCCCAACACAAAGCAGTTACAATTTTAGATGTACAGTTGTGCCTGCTTAGCTGAGCACTGCATTGCCTGTATGTTTGTGAGTTTCCGGGGTCTGGGGGAGGGCTCTGTACAGTCTGTTTTCTGTATATAAACTGGAACATTTATTTTATGAAAAATGTAATGCAATTTTATTACTGGTGTGAATTAAAAATTATGAATGTTTCCTGGTCATCTTAGCTGTGGTTTGTTCATGTGGTGAAAGGCCGTATTTCCTAGGCTTGATGACATGCAGGTTTTAAACACATGTACAGATATTCCTGGGACCTGAGTAAATAAAGCAGGGGGGTCCCACACGTGAACAGGCTGCACAGGGACGTGGTGGAGTCACTGTCCATGGAGGTGTTCAAGAAACGTGGAGATGAGGCACTTAAGGATGTGAGTATGGTGGGGGTGGGTTGGGGTTGAACTGGATGATCTTCGTGGTCTTTATCCTTAATGATTCTGTGATACTTACATGTAAAACTGTAGGTACTTCTTTGAAGGTAAGCATTTAGACCTTTTTCAACTCGTAACTGTTAGCTTTTTTGTTGACAAAGGTCAAAAAAGGGTGGATGTCACATGGGGAATGTGATATGGAGTGGTCACAGGCATGGACTGGTTGAGCTGGATGATCTTAGTGGTCTTTCCAACCTTAAAGATTTTATGTGTCACTGAAACATTCATTTCATCAACAGCATAGTGCCTGAGCTTTAAGATCAAACTTAGGGAATCGACACCTTGCTGGTCAAAAGCTCCTCTAGGCCCAGGTTTCATTGGCCTGAGGTTAAGAATACTGAATATTTTTCCTTTGCTATAAGGCAAAAATATTTTTTTTATGATTAACTGATGATGGAAGGATGATAAGAAGGAAGCAGGTTGGGATGAGGGTGCGCTGCAGAATAGTGATAGAAGTGGTTTGTTGTTTTTTTTCTTGATATGCAGCAATCTAACAGGTTAAGCCAACCAGCAACCAGGAGTGGGGAGAGGAGCAGAAGACAGTGCAAGAGAAAAGAATGGCTGATGGAGTGGTGACTGGGATGGGTGAGTTGAAACAACTCTACTAATATCAAGTCTCACTGGCTCCTATGGCACTGGCAGCATGGTGATGTGGTGATGAGGAAGTTGGGGCTGGGGACGTGAGAGCAAAGCACAGAGCACCATTGCCCAGGAAGGGATTCCTATCCTGAAAGGTTCAGTTAAATCCTGGCTCACACAAAATACAATGGAGAAATCATGCAGCATCCCTGTCACCCTCTCCTGTCCTTGGGCTGTGGACACGGCCCACCTGCAGCAGCACGTGCCCTTGGGAGTGCTGGGAGTGCCAGTTCTTTAAAAATAAAACTCCCAGGAGGACGATGCAATCAGGATTTTTTGCCTGAATGCTGCAAATTTGCTTAATAGAAACAAGTGCTGGAGCGCAGACCTGCTGTTGAATAATCACTTCCACTCTAAAGAACAGAGCAGGAGAACCTTTTGATGGTGTTATAGTCATCACTTGGCATAAATATTCATTCAAGGAATCAGAGCAGAGTAAATGGCATTTTAGACTCTAATCACTTAGTATTAGCAGATAGCCTTTTTACTGCTAAAGATAACCACTGCTTAATCAGTTTAGTGACCACTGCCGTTCCGTGTGACATTTACGCCTCTGTCTCAGAGCCAGTGCTGGGGATGCGGCTCTGGGTGACTCCTCTGCCCATCCCACACACACACAGCTGGCTTCAGCCTCCGAATTAGCTTCCATTTGCCTCCTTAGCTCAGATCAAAGCGATATTTTGAGTTCATGCTGCGAATGTTGAAATCTGGGATCTTTTTTTCTTTTTTTTTTAAATCAGGGCTAATGGCTGATCACAGTGCAGCCTGGTTCTGAGATTGAAAACGAGGCGGTATTTAAAGGCAATCAAAAATCTCAACCTTCCTCTCTATCCATCTTTAATGCTGGTGTAATTGCTGCTTGGATTCTGGCTCTTCCTCCAGTCTTAATTTTTGTGTGCGTGCATCTGTGTTTCAGATGGATGTTATACTTCCCCGAGCAGCATTAGCATTATTGAACACTCCGCTATTGACAACCCAGCTCCTCTGATTTCATATCTTGCCAAACAAGTTAATCTAATATTAACAGCGGTTTGTTACCGTGTTGTTAGCTTAATTTACTTTACAAGAAATGCTATATTTGCATTTCAGCCCACTTTTATTGGCTCGCAGGCTGTTTCCTGACGCCAAGCAGAGCTGGCTCGTGCTGCTTTGTGCTGCTATGTGTGGCTGGGGGTACAGGGTGGGGGCACAGCCCCTGTGCGGGGCATGGGGGAAGGAGCATGTACTGGAAATGCTGTATTCAGAACAGCACAAGTGCAGCCGCAGCTCTTCCAGGAATACAGCTGAGCCATAGACAGCAGTTTTCCCTGGTGGCCAGTCTATACAGGAAATAGCTTTAGTATGGAAATCATACAGTCACAGAATTGTAGGTGTTGGAAGGGACTTCAGGAGATCATCAAGTTCAACCCCCTGCCAAAGCAGGTTGCCTACAGCAGGTTGAGAAGGGTGCTCCACAACCACTGGGCAGCCTGTTCCAGTGCTCTGTCACCCTCACAGTAAAGCAGTTTTTCCTCATGTTCAGATGGAACTTCCTATGTGCCAGTTTGTGCCCATTGCCCCGTGTTCTGTTGCTGGGCACCACTGAAGGGAGCCAGGCCCCATCCTCTTGACTCCCATACTGCAGATGTTTGTAAGTATTTTTAACATCCCCTTTCAGCCCCAGGTCTCTCAGCCTTTCCTCACACAGGAGATGCTCCAGGCCCCTCATCATCTTTGTGGCCCTGCGCTGGACTCTCTCTAGGAGATCCTTGTCTTTCTTGAACTGGGGAGCCCAGAATGGGACACAGCACTCCAGCTGTGGCCTCACCAGGGCGGAATAGAGAGGGAGGATCACCTCCCTCCACCTGCTGGCCTCGCTGTTTTTCATGCTCCCCAGGAAATCATTGTCCTCCTTGGCCACGGGGGCACACTGCTGGCTCATGGCCACCTGTTGTCACCAGGACACACAGCTCCCTCTCTGCAGAGCTCCTCTCCAGCAGGTCAGCCCCTAACCTATACAGATGCACATGATTATGGTACTAAATGGCTTTAGTATGGCAGTGGGCAGATCCAGTGCCGGTGCCACTGGTCCCACGCCTCGGCCTCTTGCACAAACACTAGGCCATGCCCCAGCAGCACAGCACAGCCATGTCTGTGGGGAGACCGGGCCTATTCCTACTTGCAATGCTTGGGAAGGGGTAAAGAGAGATAAACTAGCGTCAGAGTAACGCCACGCAAAGTTATGAAGGACAATCTTTTTTGCTGTCAATATGCACAAAGAGGAAAAAATTGGAAGCTTTTGAGGAAAAGAAATGCGTCTGAACTTCTGAGTAAATGAGAAAGTATTGAAAAGCGCTGTATTTCTGAGCTCCTCTGAGGTAACTTCTGTGCTCTGAGAGAATATTTCAGAAGACATTTCATTCTTTAGAAGATGCCAAAAATGCAAGACTTGGCACTTTAACAAAACAGAAAAAGGAAAACACATAATCTTCTTAACTAGTAAGTCTTTGAGCCCAGGATCACATTGTTGCCATATAATAAAAAGGAATGTTATGCAGTAATTTGGGCAGTTAAGGATTCTGTGCATACTCAAAATCATGACATTTCAAGGACAATAAAGTTGGCTGGCTCTTGGCCATTGGCCATACGAAGAGAAAACACAAAACGGGATTGTCAGCTGGTTATTCATACCGCATTACAAAACAAGCCTCCCAACAGGCAAACACTCTTTATTGCTTGTGTTTTTGCTCCAGAAATATATTTTTTAATTAAAAAAAAAAAAAAAAAAAAAAGTTCTTGCAGCATTCATCTTACAAATGTTAACCCCTTAGCAGACACGTCTGACATTCTTTGCCGCTGGCTTCTCCACTTTATGAACGTTCAACAGTGAGAATAATCAGAAAGAAAACATTTATTTCTGGCACGGCACAAGCTGTTTCCTTTTGAGCAAAGAAAAAAAAAAGAAAATCAACTTGTACAGGATTAACTGTGGGGAATGCTTTGCTTTTGGGGGTGTCTGCACTGAAATAATGTCTCAGGAAAGCCGCCCTGCAGCCCGAGGATGTGCACAGCCAGGGTGCCCTTAAGGCCCCCACGCTCCTTTGCTTTCCTGGCTCTATGCTGACACAATTTAATTTCTCCCCAGATAACTTTATTCTGGCTTTTAAATAAGGAATGAACTTTCTATTAAGTCCTCCTCTTGCAGAGCTGTTGTCCATTTCAGAAATGGCTGAAGTACCACAATTATTGAACTGCTGGATAAAATTGTGATGAAATTTTGTATTAAATCCTGCAAAACTTTTAGGAGGACTAAGCGAGAAGAGGGGGAAAAATCCTTCTCCAGCTCTACAAAGGGCTGCAGGGTTGGATACTTGCAGACTCTGGGCATACTGAACTGGGGGAGCTGGAGCAGGAGCTGAGTGAAATGTCCATGCAGTGGCCCTAAATGATGACCTTCCCATAACAGGGCACAGCTGGCCCAACAGGCAGGAGAGGTGGTTGGTCAGCAACATTGTTGGAAGGATCTTGTTTACCCCACCCATTGGGTGAGCATGAAGTTCTCCTAACGATTGCTCTGCTCAGGGAGAAAGGCTCTGCCAGCAAACTGGGGCTGGGAGTTTGAGAAATGGCTTGAGTTTGTGGAAATGCATTGGGATAGATCCTAGTCCATGGGGTTTGGCTCGTCCCCACGCAGTCCCTGTATCTCTCCCATCCTCCAGGCCTCATAATTGGCTCCCTGCAATTTCAGTGGTTTGTCCTCTTTCCCAGCCCCAGGACCACCTTCCCCGCAGTTCTCACCCCTTGTGCTTCTCCTCTCCTCCCAAACACCTCACTGTTGCTATTCAAGATTCACCCCACCTTATCACTGGTTTCTACCCCTAACCCCACAACCTCCCCTCTGGCTCTGCCTGTGCCTATTGTTCCCTGTATTTACCCTGTCCCGACTGCCAGTTCTCTGCAACAAAATGCAATTACCCCTTCTGCAGATAATTAACTTTCCAAGCTGCCTGCCAGCCAGCGGGGCAGCCCTCACTGCTACGAATGGGCTGGATATGAGCTGCCCAAATTTGCATGAGGCGGCTGTGATTTGTTGTGAATCATTTTGCAACG